TTGAATATTGAGTGAGTGGCCGTGGAATCTCGGTGAGCTTGCCGGTCTCCCAAGGGCACAATCTCTCCCTTACAAGTCCTTTTTCCCCCTTTTGGCTATCACCCCCCTCATGTAAGTCCACGGCGCATGGTGTTGACTGTCTCGTCAGAACAATAATAATTAATAATTAATATAATAAAACTTCATCAAAAACTACCATGTGAATAAAATATGAATCACTTTAAATTCCCCCTTACAAAGTATTGCTTTTCTTTTTTTTCCTAACTTAGCTTTCTAACTATAAAACTAATTTTTTTAAAAATTTAAACGTCATTTAAGAAATTTTTTTTTTATAAAAACAATACTTTTCATACACATTTTTAAGAATTGAATTAAAAAATAATATTTTAAGAGTTTAAATTGCTATTATCTATGCTACACTCACTTCATAAAACGTTATGTCTTTTGTCTTATAAATTTTTTTAATAGATTAAAGGTTAGATAAATTAAGTACATGTTTGGTTTTTCATGTGAAAAGTTAGTTTGTCAAAAATTTATTTGACAAAAGTTAGTTTAATAAAAATTAATTGTTGTAATAAAATTTATATTTAAATATATTTTTTTAAAGTAAATTTAGTAAATTAAAAATTATTTAAATTTTAAAAAATAAAATGTGCTTTTAAATATATAATTATAAAAAAATATTGATTTATGATAATTTATAATCATTATTATACAAACGTAATATATTATAAATGTTTAAAAAATATGATAAAAATTTTAAATGAAATTGTATAAATAACATAAAAATTTTATTTTTAATAACATATATAATAAAAAATGAATAAAATAATATAAAATTAAAAAATTGGGAAAAATTATAATAAAATAATGATAAATAATGGAATTAAATTATTTTTGTGATAAAAATAAATCATTTTAAAAAAATGGTAATTTCCCCCAAAAAATGCCTAGTTTTTTCAGCCAAAGGTCCATTTGATCAAAACTAAAGCCAAGCATGGGTTACGTTGGCTAAATGAATTTTCAAGAATGTTTCAAATGTGTTTCAAATATAATTTTGATTTGATGATATTTTATCCAAACAATATTTTACTTTTTGCAAGCACGAAAACACTTCCTAAATGTGGAAACTCACAAAACCAAATAAACGCTAAGTTTTAAGGGCTCGCTTGGCCTAAAACTCACACCTAGCCGTTGTTATAAAAGCTTGGAATTGTTACATCTCCAAATGGCATAAGCATTCAGTCTATAGAAGCAATTTACTTAATTATATTTAATAAGAGTATTTTGAATATAAAATAAGATTAATATGCAATTTAAATTATAAACTACAGGTCCAAAAATAATTTAAACCTTATACCTGCAATTAATACCTTTTAAACCTTAAATAATTAAATATGAAATAATTTCACTCCCACCATATTAATTTGGCACTAACGTCTGTTACTTTAAGCTTATTAGGGGCCATGTTTTCTTTGCCCACATTCTCTCTCCATATGCTAGTTCTCTCCTCCCCCTCTCTCCGCCTAATCTCTTGCTGCTATCTCCATATGTCAACATTGTTGCCTTCTCAACTGCTAAAATTCAATTGGCTTATTTATCATTCAAGTTAACCTTCTTATCCCAATTGACAACATGGTCGTTTGATCTCCTATAGCTTCAATTTATCTAACCACTTCTTCCTTTGTTTCCTCATCTTCCTTAAAACCCCAAGCTCATCCTCCGATTTCATTCTCCATCTGATTTTCCTTTGCTTCTTCCATCACTTCTACAGAATCTTCCTCCTTACACTCTTGGTTAACAATGGTGAGGATGAGCCGACCATTTTGGCATTGAGCAAATCGAGAAGTTGTTGTAAGAAGGAACGGACACAGTTTTAAGGAATAATCTCACATGGGTGTTTCTATGGATGCGTTTAACAAGCTCCAACGTGACAATCATATTTTTAATTACGTTCCTCATCAGACTCATTAAGGCGCCTCACTTTGGCATACCCTACTTCTACCGTCGCCAACAATCCCCTTACTGCGATTGCCCATTGGTATGGTGTGCACAAGAAAGCTAGTCCATTCATTATTGCTTTATTGATCAAGTCTCTTAGATAGAAGAATGCCATTCTCTACCGTCATCCTTCTGGTCTCCCCATCAACATTCACTATATGATTGAGCTTGTTGGCGCTTATTATGATACCATGTTGGCCTTCGAGGCAAGCAAGGTTGGGGGCGTTGTGGGAATATGTGGTGGTTGCTTTCACTTTTATGTTGGACTTTGATGTTGAGGCCACCATAGATATAAGGTCTTGCTCTAAGGCTGCGAGTAGTTTTTTTTTTTTTTTGTTGGAAGTGCACTTGACGAAGTCATTTGGACTGGCCAGGACAAAAATCCTATTCATGAAAACAATAAAGATGATGATGAGAATGTATGATTCAAGCATTTTCATTGTTGTAACTCGGAGTAAGAAGGTTTTTTTTTTTTTTTTTTCCGTTTCCCTTAGGTTCCTTGTTTAACCATAAGGTATTGCATCTCCTGCATTCTTCCATGCTGATAATGATGCCGTCCCCAAAATTGAGAGAAAAGCAAGGACGTTGACAAAAAAAGGCGGGAGAGAAGAAAGCAAAGAGGGAGCAACATGCAAAACCACACTCTGGAGCGGTTGCTAAGAGCTCTCAAAGTTCTCAATTCGAAGCAAAACCTCTCTAGGTTTGAGTGAGAGAGTGGAGGAGGTGAGGAGGAGAGAGATCATTGAGTGATGAGAGCTAGGCTTACCACTTAAAACTAACATCCATGTACTTTAATTTAATATTCAGGTGAAATTACTTCAAGTTTAATCATTGAAGATTCAAAATGTATTAATTATGAGTAGTTAGGTGCAAATTATTCAAAAACTTATAACTCAAGGTTTAAATTACATATTAATTTTTTAAAAAATAAAAAAAAATGTCATACACATCAAGAATAGAAATGCATGAAAAAAATAATATTTAAAATCCCCTCATCAATAAAAGTATAAATAATAGGGTTAAGGTATAAAACTGCTTTTAATATTTCCACTCAAGTGCATCCTACAAAATTTTTTGATGTAATATCGTCCCAATATTTTTTAATTTGGTACAATTTCATCATTCAATTAAGTTTGACTCATTTTGACTGTTAAATTAAAGTGTCAAACTGTTATCTGCTTGAGTGCCACATAACAGTCCACGTCACTTTCTCTTCACTACCCTTCCATTTCCAAACCTTTGTTTCATCCCATTCTTCGATCTCCAACTTCCTCTCTTTGCCCCCCCCCCCCTCTATCTTTTCTCTCTCCCCGCTCGATCTCTACTTCAAATATGCTTCAAATCTTAGATTTTAAGTTTTGATTGGAGGGAATATGAGTTCTATGAGGTCATACCGTTTAGGATTTGGTTTGATTGGGTGAGAAGAATTTGAGTTCTATTGGCCGCCATTTAACTACGCCTGCTGTTGCCAGCGTCTCTCTATTTCAAAGCTATCGAGTATGTTGTTCTTTGGTCACACACCGGCTCGACGATACCCGTGGTCAGAGGGAAACACGAGATCCAAATCAGTAGACGGATTGAGAGGTTAGGGGGGTTCAACGTGATTCAAAGTTAGCAACCCATATTTCAATTCGAAGCGATTCCAAAGACCCAAACATAATTGAGCATTGTAGGTGACAGATCAAGACTGTGGAAGTGACGTAGGGGTGCGACGGAGACAGATCGAGACAAAGGAAGTGAGGGAGTAGTGCGACGCTGACGCCAAACGCTGATTGTTTTAAAAATTTCTAGGTTCCAAAGTTTCTAGATTTTATCTATTTCAAAATCGTTCTTTGATTGTTCTGATGCCTTGTGTATAAATTTTACTTCGATTGTTGTGGGTTTGGAAGGAAAACAAAATTTTTTACTTTGATTTGTTTATTTTGCTATACAATGGGATGAAGATGAGGGACAAAGATTGCTGGATCTGGGTATGTTTATTTTACCTTGATTTGTTTATTTTCCTTCAATTGTTCTGGGTTTGATTGCTGGATTTGTTTATTTTAGTTTGATAGTTTTTTTTTTTTAATGAAAAGACACGGACAAAGTCGTGTTAAGGTTATAAAAGTCAAGACACATTAAAGTTCAAGATGTCCCTATATCTTATAGGCAAAACATTATAAATAGAGAAGTCCTAGTAGTTATGCTAAATTTTCTGTACGGGCAAATCAGTATATTTGTTTGACTCTCTAAAATATAGTCAAAAGTAATTGTTTAATCTCTTATAATGAGCTTTTTTATTTTTTTGATGGTTGCCGTTAGAGGATGGCTTTCAGAGAAATTATGTCAAATAAAAGAGAAGGCTTCCATAAAAATTATGTTCCTACTTTGATCGTTTTTGTGCTTGATTTTGAATGAAGAATGAATATGCTTTGGATTTTTTTTTTTTTTTTCAATTTTGCAGAGGAAAACAATGAAGAAGATTGGTCTGCGTAAGGAGGGAAGATGATGACATGGCCAGTAGAGGATTGTTTCTTTTTTATTTTAAAATTTTAAAAGATGTCATACTGCCAGCCATGCATATAATAGTCAAATCTTATTGACTAATGGTCAACATAATCAAATCCTAACAGTCTGATGAAATTGTACTAAAATAAAAAATATTGAGGTAAAATTATGCTAAAAAATACTTTAGAAGATAGGACGGGCTTTTCTGAAAACATTGAGAATAGTTATGTACTTTAAATGATATAATACTTTTGAGAACTGTAATTGGATGCATAATTTTACATGAAACTCAAACTCTTGTTGTGAATTGTACAGCCTTTTAATTTTTTTATATTTTATGTTAATATTGATTGTTTTTGTATGTCATAAAATCTCTATGGGTTGTAACATGCGTCTATGACACATTTGAGCCCAAGAATGCTCAAATGAGAATTAGTCAAGATACGTTATATTCACATACCAACACATACAAATACAAAATAAGCAAAGCCAAAAGTCAGCTACTCACTCGAATATTTGAAGAAGAGTATTTGGAAGTGAAAAAAGAATGCGTAACAATAAAATAGTTCAACTTATTAGTGCAAGTTACAACACACACTAAAAACATCGAAATGTACTCAAAAACCAGACAGATTTAAATTATACATGGCTTATATCTAAAGGGAAATCTCTTCAGAAAAAGAGCGATCGAGTGAATGAAAGTGGAAGGTGTGTCTCATTCAGCCTTATTTAACTACGCACAACATTCCCTCAAAAAAGAAAAGAAAAGAAAAGAGGTAAGGTGTTGAAGTGTTGATGATATAAGCAAGGCGAACTCAGACTTCACGATTTAGTCTCAGAAAAATAAGTGGAAGAAACAGCTAAGCCTTGCACATCGTAAGTGCGAACCAATCTTTGTCTCTGGCTAGGTGTCTCAAGCCAACAGAACTCCAAATGGAAAGACTTTGATTCTGCAACACTTTTTGCCACGTCACAAGGACACCCCATGTACATCCCTCCAGGCAATAGCGTAACCTGGTATCCTCCCTCAAATGTAACCAAATTCTCTGACATTGTCCCCTTCCACTCCACATTTGTAGTCACCTTTTCATTTTCCTTGTTCGATGTTGAAGTCACAATCTGGGACACAGAAGCAACAGCAGTTCATTTTACAAGATCAAGGTAAAGTGAAGGGACTCCTTATGGAATTCATAAAATATGAAACTTTTCTAAGTACAGGGAAAGTATTATTTTTAGCCTCTGAAACTTTATTTCAATTATCAATTCAGTACTTAAATTTTGAATAAGAACAACTTAGCTCTTATAGTTTCTTGACTTCGAATAATTCAGTCCTTATAATTTGTTGACTCAATAGAACTCAATCCCCATAATTCCTTAATAAATTATAATGACTAAATTACACAGAATCAAAGTTCAAATAAATTGATAATTGAGAGAGAGTTTGAGAATTAAAAGTTATATTATTCCTAAAATATATGGGTTTTGGTTAACTTTCTTTTAGCAGTCACACTTCTTTTCATTTGCTTGGGCTTGTGCCGCAAGCGTGACATGCCTGATTAAGCTGGCCTTGGCCATCCATTTCAAGTGACACAACTGTATCAGCTTCAGCGATCGTAGATCCGTACACACCACTACGTTTTGTAACAGAGTGGCCTTTCCACTTGCCAAGAAATGGTAAAATCCTGCTCTCCGTGTCCTGCCATGAATCCAAACAAAGAAAACGTGTCATACATGAAAGAAACCACCAACAGAAAAATAACTCAGTCATCAAGCAACTCTAGAAATCAGCAGAGTTCCCAACAAATAAAGAAACAAGCCAGTGTTCGTGGGGAGGTGAATTTATTTCATGCATAAGAATTAAAAACTGTACTTATCCCAAGTACCATTGAACTGATAAGCAGAGGAGGAGACCCATCACTTTTTTCCTCTAGGAAAACAATAAGCATATCGACAACTCCTTTTGGATCCAAAATGTGAAAGGCTCTTGCTCGCATCTCTGCCTGTAGAGAATACAAGCAATTCTCACATACAACAGAAGGTCGACGAGAGGGAAGCTTTACATTTCTGCACATCAAGGGAATGGAAAGAAAGTCTAAGCAAGCAGTAGAAATATATGAGAAGGTTCTCAGTATCAATGCCCAATAACAGACCATATTTGTAGTTGTGCTATTAGACATGACAACCCCATGGCAACATTGGCAAGGAGTTATCAAATAGTAGGCCTATGGGAACTAGAATTTTAGATTTATTTTGAAATTAGTGCACTAATTTGAAACTTGGCTTAACTAGAATAATCACCTCAGACATTAATTTATTATTTGCATTTCTGATCCCAAGAGGTGAATTGTTCCTAATGGGAACACTTTAAAATAGGTGTACTTTTGTTACTATCCACGCCAGCTGCAGTCTCAATTTAATCTACTCATTTCTAGAAACTGCACCGATTACAGTTAAACATTCAACCTGATTACAAACTAATTAAATAGTACTAGGAGACCTTTCAGAGAATCACTTACTTTGGTGATTCTTCACCAGTGTCATCTTCTCCAAGAACCCCTTGCCTCAATACAGATTCCAGCATGCCAGCTGTCTGATACCTCAGGGAAAACGCTCTCTCAGATGGAAAAAACCCAATCTGCAGACTAACCATGGTGGATATTTTACACAAGACAAAGGGATTACAAAATATAAGGCAAAGTTACTCTTTCCATAAAACGAAATTGAGCATTCTGTGTATCCTGAACCACCAAGCAATAGGAGAAAAACTCACTTGTTGATATTTGTCAACAGTAAACATACTGGTCTCTTTGATTTTGTACTCTGCCCACTCTGGTTGCTCATCATAGCCAGAAATTGAAGTACTTGATGAAGGTTGCTTAATGTATAGGCTGCGAGAAGCAATGTAATAAATCAATCAAAGATTTGTAACTTGCAATGGTTGCGTAAGAGATACAATGATTAATGACAATTTAGCCCTAAAGAACTGGATAAAACAGAATAACTCTATGACCAAATGGATTTAATCCACCGGAGGTGTACCGTATATTGTCATTTTGACGCTAACTTCTATGAAGTCAGTCAACATCGAAGATATCTATCTGTATTACACCGATAAAATAGATAACGAATGGCATCCAAGGTATGGTCTTATGGGATGACACCATTTAGGTAGTAGTACTTCATCGCCCTCAAAAACCACGAAGATATGACATGACCCTGTTGAATTTGTTCACTCTCACGACATGACAGTTTTATCGTTTCTATGTTAAATTGCCCAGTATGACCATCTTAATTACCGCGGTTTCCAAGATACTATAGAATTGTGAGATCCACAGAGTGTCTCCATGAAAAGATGATCTATCCCTTTCCTTTTAAGTACAAAAAGATTCATGAGAAGCTTACGTCTGAATGAGACTCATGAGATGATCTTCTCCATAAGAACTTGCTGAAAGCTTCGTACTTATTTGTTGCAACAAATGCCCAGAAGCGTCAAATTGCTGAAAAAGGGGAGAGGGAAGGCTTACTACGGCAAAAAGCACAAAACTGCTACTTAAAGAAATTTTCCATTACAATGCTTACATAGAAAGAGCCGTTCCATTTTCCCACATTAAGCTCGATGAAGCTGTGAAGATTGTCTATGCTCATTACTGCTTCTTCCAATGAAGGGGACGATGGCGAACTCGAGGCTCGGATTCTGGGAAAGGAACACGAAGAACGTTTTGGGTTTGATAGATTCACCGAAAAGGTTCGAACATTGTTGGAGTTGGGTAATTTGGGTACCGAAGGGATCGAAACTGAGTAGTGAATGGAAGCCATGGCTGGGAAGTGAAGGAGCGGAGGTCGACCCTATATGAAAATGAATAAATGGTAACGACCATTATCTAATCTGCCGACCAATAAGGAATTTTCCTAAATTTTCAGAACTGTTTTTGTAAATCCGAATACTCATTACTCTCTCTCCCTCCTACAATATTTAGAAGAAACTGGGTAATGGGTAATCTGAATATTTTAAAACTACTCTAAATTTACTTACCCTTCACAATTGAATTTTATCAATAGTTAAAAATTATTCAGATATATTTTTCTTGAAAATTAAAAATTAAAAAAAATCTCACAATTAAAATACTCTTTATATATGTTATCCATATCAAAAATATGAAATTTGAAATTTTAAAAGTATTATATAACAAAATCTCTTACTAAATTTTGGTTTATTCACTGAATTTAAATCCCATTTTTTTATAGCATTTAATGAATAATCTTCATTAATTGATTAATTAATTTAACTTTAATACACTCTGGTCTGAGGGGAGAAATAGAAAGTAATTTAACTTTAAAACAAGTTTATTGTTTCAGATAATCTTAATTATTGAGTTAGTAGTTTAAAACGACTTATACATAGGATTGGTAGAATGAATGGAGTTAATTGACTATAATCCATTAGAGTTGAAATCAACTTATTGTGGGATAATATTGTTGGTTATTTAGTTTTATTTATCATGAATGATGCTTTGAATCATAACTTACGTTTTTTTTAAAAAAAAATTGATGCATTGAAATTTGAATAAAATAAAATATAAAACAAAAATAATCTTCTTTTAGTAAAAAGCAAAAAAAAATTAACTATAAATAATAATCCATAGATGGAACTCGGAAGATAATGAAATTAATTTTGTCACCATGGGAAAATAATCTGTTTAATATGATTATTATAGATATAATAATTGCATAGGTTATTTCAAAGATGGACTCTGCATAATAAAGAATGACGCTACAAACTTATACCCTGCCTCTCCATTCAGAAAAATAACATCAAGTATAATGGTTGTCAGTTTATGTTCTCAGGGTCGGTGCAACATTAACATACACGCTCATGACCAGATTTAATGTGCTGTCACCGCCACTGTCATACAGGCCAGGGAAGCTTAAGCTGCGAAAGAACTTTGAATCAAGAAACAATTGAGTTGAACCATACAATACGAGATAAATCGTTCTCCTTTTTATGAATAATACTTCCGTAATAACACAAGACTTCATCCTTCAAAAGATTCTGATAATAAGCAAAAAAAAAAAAGAAGTGCCTAGTCCTGTTAACCATGCCCAGCCTCCACTACTTGGTTATTTAGCCGCTTCAGAAGCCTCAGAGGTCTTGACTTCTCTAGGACACTGAGATACATAAGGTTTGAGCTGCAAAAGAGAATAATAATAAAATTCAGCAATGAGCCTAGAATATAATCCATCAAGTCCTAAAAATGCAGAAACTAGATAACTAATTCATATAAAATAGGGAAATTAATTTAGTTAGTTATTTATTATTTTCACTGAAAACTACCCCTACTATTGTGCGTAATCAATAGGGTAGTTTGGGAAAAAAAATGACAAATGTGACACACAAAAGAGATAAGGGTCATGCATTTAACACCAAAACAAACTCCTCAACTAGCTCTTACATTTATGACCAGAGGGAGTACCATTTTAACAATTTAGGGTAAGATCACAGGGATGCAACAAGAACTAGCATGATAAGAAAGAAAGAGAATGCAAATATACAGAAAGATGCAGACCTTGAAATCAGTCAGATCAGGGACTACGTAGTTTGGCAGTTTTTCTTGCAATACAACATATCCACCTGCAACAAAATGCAAATATACATTACATACGAAAAAAATAATACAATATTGCCCTCATGTTTGCACCTTTGTACATAGTATTTTACAATACCTAAAATGTATATCATGGATCTCAAGTAAGAAAATTTTTAGAAGCAGGATTGGATTCCGAGGATACAACTCCAGGAATGTTTGGAGTTATTAAAAGTCATATAACACACACTAGGAATAAACTCCTAAAATAGCTCTCTCCTTGGAGAAAGAATTTCTCCGTTCCCTTGTTTATTAAGTATCTGAATGCACCATGAAACATTTAACGGAGTGCGATGGAAGATGGAGATGACTAAAATAGGAAGGCATGGTTGGGTGATAGATGAGATGAAGCAAGGAAGGATAATAACGAATTTTTAAAACTAATGAAGGAATCATAGAGAGAGGTGTTTACTAGAGATTCAGATTTCAGAACCCAAAATTGCTCTGCAGCCAATAATCCAAAATTGCTCATATGAAGATGGCTCAAAAACGAAGTTAGGTTGTTTGTTCATTATTTCGCTTTCATGGGCTGCAACCTCTGTTTTTATTAGTAATCTATTGACAGAAGTTTGAAAGAACAAAGTAAGAATTGTCGTAGTTGAATCATTCTTGGGTATAATGAAAATACAGCACATGAAAATACAGTACAGTCTGAAAGTGCCTTCCTAGTATTGGTTTGCTGGAAGTTGCTAAACAATAGTTCTCTATCTCCATTCTGTCCTTTAAAATCTAATCCAAAACTGTTCATCCAAAAGAAAAATAAACTCAAATATGATAACAGATTATAGAACCTTTCCAATAATCCATCCTACACAATTTGTGCAACGATAGCCATTGCAATTTATTTTGTGAAGGTCAACAAACCTTTGCGCGTGTGGAAACCAGTAGGCTTGCAATTTTTCCCTTTGTAGTAACCTCGGGGAGCACGTTTTGACGATAGAATGTCAAGGGACGAAGTTCGCTTCCTTCGAAATGCCCTTCCTATCCCAAGAATTAGTCCTAAAGGCATCGTGTCCCCTGTTCAAGATGGGAAATCAGATTCAATGATCACCGGATTTTGGGAGAAGACAAAGTTCATACCTTCTTCAAAACTTGCCGGACAACCACGCAGGGATGACAAATGTAGACGGCGCCCGACGGCGAGCTCGACCAAGAGTGGAATGCCGAACAAAAAATTGAATTTGCTAGTTGCAACCAGTCAAGGGTGTGTTTTGTGGGGTCGTCTTTCTTTTTTTTTTTTTCTTTGGGGATGAGGCAGTCCAAATTTGCATCGTTAGATTAAATTTGTTGGCAAAAATAAATAAATAAATTTAATAATTTTTAAGTTAAATTATACATCACACTCTTAAACTTTAAATCATATATACACAACCTCTTTAACTTTTAAAATTTTATAATAAACTCCATCAACTTTTATATCTCCGTATATAATTATATATGATTAATTTTATATATTAATTATCTATATATAACTTAAAATTTAAATATGTTATTGTATATTAATTAAAGTTTAAAAACTTATATGCGCACAAAATAAAGTTTAAAAAATATATAATTAATTGTTAGAAATTATTTGTATAAATCTAGAAGTTCAAAGAAATTTATTATTAAGTTTTTAAAATAAAAAAAGTCATTTATATATGATTTAAAGTTTAAAAAAGTCATATATAATTGAACATAATTTGCAAGATAGTGTATGGGATTTTTTATTTTCTTTTTTTTGACACCAAATGGGATATGATGGCTAAAAGCAACATACCTACTTGGGAGAATTTTTAAAAGGAAGTTGGATGGTTTGGGGTGACTTTATAAGTCATTCTTAACTATTTTAAATTTATTATTTTTCAGTTCTCAAAATTACCATATCCTTCTTACCTTCTCTTACTCTTTCACTTTATCTCATCTTAAAACTAAAAATTATAATTATATCTAATGCAAATCTATTAATTTTATAATTATTCTAAAAAAATTATTAAACAAAATTTTTATTCTTCTAATAAAACTCTTAAACAATGAAATGTTACGTTCTATTTAATTTTATTAATCATCATTCATTTTTTGTTTCATTGTATCCTCTCAAACATATCTTAAAAATAAAAGTTTAATTTAAATGATTGAAATTTGCAATGAAAAAGAAGGGAAGGAAACTCCGCGGAGAAAAATCCAATGCATATTTTGTGCATGTTAATTCAAGCATATAATGCTTGTTTTACAATTATACACTAATTATAAAAATGAAAAATTAATATAAATTATATATTTCATATTGATATAAATTAAATTAACTGTTTTACTCCATTCATGAAGGTAATCTTTTTGCTTTAACTTTTTCACTTTTTGGAAAAAAAAGTCAATTTTTAAAATTATGAGCTATTGCAAACGCATTAGTAATATATATATATATATATATAAATATAATTTATAATATCTATAAAAATGGTGAAGTAGAGGTCATTACAAACAAAAAAAAAAACAATGATGTGCTTGCAAAGATAATATTGAATACACAAAGCTCAATTGCTCATTTTTTAGATGAGGTTCCAATTTAGTTTTAGGCCATACATTATAACACACCAAATTTTTTTTTTAAATAATTTAACTCAACTATAGTTGGGTTACAGCCACCCAACACATTTTTATATCAATAATTTCAATATAAAATATTTTATAATTAACATTTCAGATAAATTTTTACCTCCCACATGCTATTAGGCTAAATCACATTTGTCTATCCTTATACTCCCAACAAGTAAACTAAATCACATTTGTCCATCCTTATACTCCCAACAAGTAAAGTAAGCAATTTAATAAATTTTCAACACAAACCAGTTATTTGGCCTTATAATCATGCCATTTTAACCAATCCAAAGTAAACCAAATATTAAAATTACAGTCATCCAAATTGTACTAAAAATAGAAATAGTTTGAAAGGCATGATTACATTTATATATTCATATAATTGACAATAAACAAAAAAGCCCTAATATTGGCAATATAACACATTATAAATCATAAATTAAATACCCAAAAGAGACAGTGGATCTATACCACTAAGCCTCTGGGACTCCTCCACGTGTCACTCGTGGCTCTTCTCCTGAAAATTGTTAACCACATAATGAGACTCAAAAGTCCCAGTAACCAAAGCCAATTTATGATAGTGTATACAAACAGTTAATTGTGTGCTTACTAAGTGAGAATTAAAAATAATATAATTCCAACAAATATATGAAATATTACAATACACACAAACAACCATCCTTATATCCCTCCATTAACCTCGAGCCATAGCCCTCACTCGGTGCTAAATTACCCGGCCAAAGGTAGATTAGCCCGAGCCCTTACAAACCACTTATTGAGCTCCAATAGGGGCATACCACGTGGCACATAAATACAACAACAATAGCAAGTCTCCCAACACCTCCCACAATAATCAAACAAATTCATAATAATAATATTGCACAATATACAATATAAAAAAAATTCATAATTTTCTCAATAATCACCCAATTAACATGAAGTAACACTAATCATAAATTAAAAGCATAGTTACCTTGTGGCTTTTTCAATAAATTATTTCTTAAAATTTCTCTCTCACCACAATCTTCACCAGTAATACAATCTACAAATAACATATTATTTATAAATATTAGTTTCAATTTTTTGAAACTAATAAAATAATTCTAATAATAGAATTAAAAATATAACATAATTTCTAATCTCAATCTTAATACAAATCTATAGTTAATACTATTAAGTAAAATTTTTAACTCCTCTTTTAATTATCAATAAACATTAATAATCTAAAAATCAACTTTTAAATTAATTTCTATTATCAAAATTTTCTTTTTATTTTATAAATTCATACCTAAAATACTCAAAAATTAAAAATTAAGTCTCTAGTTTAGAATCATAATCCTATAACCATAATGATTCATTTCTCATCCCAAATAATCATCTAAACCTCAATAAATCAACATATATTTTCAGATCTAGTTTAAAATTTGATCCATAAGCCACAGATTCAAAGATCATCAATAAATTTATACTCTAGAACATTTATTATACTACTGACAACCTCAAAAATCATATTTATTCAATATAAATTCATCCCTCTTCCAGATCTTAAATTTTCTACCACTACAAACTCAGAAACTAAATAAGAAGGATGACTAAGAAAATTTTTTAGAACACTTACTTAGTCTTGAAAAGCTTAAAATCACACCCTAAATATCCTATTAAAAACTCTTACCTTAAAAATTTAGATATTTCGCACCGGTGACTCGCGTTCTCTCCGCCTCAGCTCGCGCGCAGGAATGAATGAGGAAATGAAGGAAGGTGAGTTTTTATAAAAATTCAGTGGGTCCCACACATTTTTTTTATTATTTCTTCTTCTCTCTCCCCCTTTTTTTTATTATTATTTTATATTTACTATTCATGCGGCGCCGAAAGCAAATTCGTTTTCTTCTTCTTCTTCTCCTTTTTTTTTGGCATACCTTTTCCCCTTTTTTTTATTATAATAATAATTTAATAATTTTTTAATTAATTTTTTAATAAATTTTTTTTAAATTTAGAATTATATCCTAAATTAGATTTAATAATCATTTTCTACTAATTTTCTTACCTCTAAATATTATTTTTTTTTAAAATTTCTATTAACCTAAATTAACTATTAAAATTTAAATTGGGATGTTACATACATTGCGAGAATGGATCTCACTCTGGCTAATTTTCAGCATTTCAATGTTAATTGTAATTGATGAATATCTCTTTTATTTTTAGCTGACTTTAACCTTGTACTTTAATCTTTTTTTCAGGAGTATAATCCTTTGTTTTCTTTAAAAAAAAGGATTAAGGTCCAATTTTATTTCTATATTTATTTTTTAGGAGTGTCGAGCACCTTATACTTTTAAATGTAGCAATTTTACCTTTGAACTATTATTTTGAGAAGCAAAAACCTTATTAATAAATCATTAACTTTGCCATTATATGCTGATGTAGCATGTGTATGAGCACACATAGTGACAAATAAGACTTTTACCATATCCTTTGGCATTAATTTACTCTTAAACTCTTTTTCCTAAAGCATTTAGTATCCTAAAGTCTTTTTTTAAGAGTATTAAGTACCTTAAAGTCTTATTAAAATAAAATTTAACATATATTGCCAAAATATTAAATATTTTCATGTGTAATAATTTAAATATTATTATTTATAAATATTCATTCAAAATTTATAAATTATATTTTAAATATTAACAACTCAAACTAATATTTTATAGATGACTTCTTATTTTTTATATATCAATTTTTAATCTTCTTTTTAAAACAGTGCCCAAATCATTATGTTTTTTTGTGGTTGTCAAAACTTATTTATATTTTTAATATTGGTTAAGTTCCTTAATTTTTTTTGATCAATTAATGATCTTCCTCCAAAATATTGCACTATCAAATTTAATACTCTCTATATGTGACAGTAAAATCAAAAATAGGACAATAAGGACCAACAAAATGGTAACAAAATGTTAATTTGAAAAATACCACTTATTCCATTAATGTGTTATAAAAAAAATTATTTAACAAGAAAAAAATGGAGATGAATAGAAAAAATCCCTTCGTTAATTTGAAAGTTTACTCCCTTCATTTTTAATACAAAATTGAAAAATATTAAAAATATTAAAATATTAAATTGGGTGGTGTAATAGTTAAATAATAATATTTAAATTATTAAATATTAAAATATTTAATATTTTAAAAATATTTATTAAATTTTATTTTAACAAGAGTTTGGGGTTTCCAACGCTCTTAAAAAAAAATTTTAGAGTACCCAACGCTCCTGAAAAAAATGTTCAAAGGCAAATTAACATTAAAGAACATGGTTACCTGTGCGTGGGTTTCATATACATGCCACACTAGCATATAACAACAAAGTAAATGATTCATCAATAGAGGAGGTTTTTTGTTCCTCAAAACAATAATTCAAGGGTAAAATTACCCCACTTAAAAGTATAAAATATCCAACACTCATAAAAAATAAGTACAAAGATAAGATCAAACATTACAAAAAAAAAAAAAAAAAATTGAGTGGATCTCATGCTCAACCATCTTTATAACTTTTTCAAAGCTAGCATCCAAAATGCTAGCTTTCGAACCTGTGTTCTAGAGTTTGAGACAGAGCAGCAAACTACAAAGGCACAAAGTAGCTGCCTTTTCAAAGCTACCTCAGTATTACCAATATATATATATATATATATATAAAATATGTATATGGATACTTTTACATGCTCAAAATATTTTTACTAGTTGAATGATTGGTCCAGCTCTAACAATATTGACTTGAGTTCCTGCCGACCACTAAAACCAGCATTTACACCAACATTACAAAGAGGAACAGCAAATATGCTCTGCATCCCATCACAGAAATATTGTTCAGTCCAATCTTCTCAACAAGTAGGCAACCTGAACTTCCTTTGTCAGAGGCATGATCCAATCACCGTAAAGATCAGCAACCAAGCTTGGTTTGATCTTATAGACTGGTTCGGCTCCATGGTCCTTACAGTTTATAACTACCTCCATCCCATAATGCTTGGCCTTCATTTCCACTCTACTTTTTATTGCCTCTTCAACTTGAGGATATGTCAACATATCCATCAACTTATCTTTGTCCTGCAGAGTCAAAGTTGATTACATTAAAAACCCAGCTTGCAAAAAGCCACAGGCATGCAAATCAAGCCCCAAAGAAAAATCCAATCAAGCCCCAAAGAAAAATCCAGAGCAATCCACCACGTTGATGTTTAAATTGTTGAACCCACCTAAAATTAGTCCCCAGAAGTTAGTACATAAGTTACTCTTCTGGCACTACAATTTAATCAGCCTAGCAACATAACTACCAACAGCAATAAGTTCACGCTCTGATACTACTCAATCGTGCAAGTTTTAGACAGAAGCATCACTTTTCTTCACATGATTTCACAAGTTATGGTATGAGAACGATGTTAATGAGCAGTACTTTAACGAACATGATTAGAGTTTCAAGCAGAAATACCACCAACAACAGAATTATACTAACTCAATATGAACAACAACGAATGCATACAACTTTGATCACTCTCACGATTATTCATACCTGTGCTATAATGGCCTCCCTATATTCATCTGGAGAAGCTTGAAACTTAGCCTCTGCCACAAATTTTCCGTAATGGACTCTCTTTGAGAGAGCCTGCAGTCAACAAAGAACAAAAATTCCAGAAACCTTAGAACCAGAGTTTGCCAAGCTATTGAACTGACCACTATTTGCTAATGTAGCCTCAAAACTTGCAACAGTTTGTATATGTTATTGGCATTGCTCAACAGATTTATAACTGGAAATAACTATCTTGAATATCGTATGCTTGTATTATTAATACCCTGCAAGAATAGGGAGCCGTTGCTTTTAATTAAATGGTTAAACACGCGCGTGCGCGCATTTCAATTTAAGATAATATATTTTTCAAAAAAGTGATTTTCATACGTACATATATCCACTCATATTATATAGAGAACAGTTATCATAATCATAATCAACTTAAAATTCTCTCCATATGTTGTTTAATTAATTATAGCACTTACTTTAGGTTTAGTTATAACATAAAATTGTAATTTGCTTTAGTTTGAAATTAATTAATATAATTAACATGAAATATTATATAAAATTTTTTATCATAAAAAGAAAAAATATCCAATTAGTTCAAGTACCTAATCTAGTGGTTCAACCATCGGGTTCACATGCTTATTTACGTTCAGTGTTACAAATAGACTGATTATTAGCACCAGATTAGATTTGCAGCTGGTTTATCAATTGAACTATATAGGGTGATCAGAGTCTTAAATTTGCCATGGTCTTCGCATGGTAGAGATTTTCAAATTAAGCTTTAAGTATAATTGATAAATCATGACTTCAGCATCAAAATCTTGTTCAAATGAGGAAGCAGCCTATACTTATTCCTCTTTAGAGGTAAGTTTATCATGTTACTGATTTAGGCTTTTAGCATCAGGCAACAATCGGTCATTGTATTGTATATGTATAAAATCAATCATCAATGAGGGGAAAGGACCTAGAAATGAGGAACACCTATTAGAGTTGGATAAATAATACTACATGAATAAACGTTGGAAATATAAATGATATATAACGTCTACAGTATTTCAACAGAACTGGAAAAGAAAATGTACTGATAAAAAGGCATACCTGCAAGCACATCGTATCACAAACAGCAGTAGATCCACAATTACCATCATCTCCTTCTGTGACTAGCCGTGGAATGAGATCTCTAAAGTATACTTCCCACACTCTATCATTTATGTTAATTGTATCAGCAATAGGATGCAATACCTATTTACATATTAATCAAAGAAAGATTTCATAACAGTTAGCATATAAAAGATTTAGCAAAAGCCCTATTATAAAGTGACATAATACTCATAATCTTTGCAGTAGACATTTGCTAATTTAATTAAATATGTAAAATAATATTATAAATATTTACTATGGGCGCCATAGCAAAACCTGGCAGAAATGGATTTTCCAAAGTTAAGCAGTAATAGTGGAAACGTTATTATGTAAATTGGTTTTTCTCACTTTTATGTGTTTTGGGTTGCAAACTGCAAAGGTCAAATAATATTAACCACAACTCCCATGTTGCAAACTCAGGAATACTACAAAAGAGAGAGCTTATTGGGCTTTTAGGCCCTGTTATTGCCTAAAAGAAAAATAATAATTCTGTCCAAGGAAGAAAATGGTTCAATGGTAAACCAAAATCTTTGTAATTATTGTGAGTGCATACTTGATGTAGGACCAGATAACAAAGAAGGGATAGAGGGAAAGGCAGGGGGGAGATAGAAAGAAAGAATTGTGGCATAGAAGTTGACAAAATAGACATGTCCATGATACAAGCGTATATGAAAACTTAAATGTAATACCCTAATTCTAACTGAATAAATTGATATATGTTTTCCAATCAATATAAGGATATTCATCAACACCTTAGGGTAATCCAAAGGTGGTAACATCGGTTCAGGTAAGCCATCAGGGAAGAATGGATGCTCATCAGGGCTCTTGTATCTACCCACCTTCAGTAAAAATGGAAACCCAGTCAGGAAAAATAAAAAGCACGTACATAATTTTCAAATTAGTCATCAATTTTCAAGCTTTAGATTTCATACCTGAGAATGAAGCTTCTCAGTTTCCTTCAATATGTATTCCACCAAAGATCCATGGAATCCATCCACGGAGAAGGCATTAGGGTCATATGTATCGGCATTATAGCAATATTGCGCTCGCTCCAAAAGGCTAAATATTATGCTATCTTCTTGACGGATTAAAGAACGCCGTATACCATCAAGAGTCAAGTTTTCACTTCCATCAATCCTTTTTTTGTTGGCACAGATCTACATAAAGCAATAAGCTAATTTTAAACTTAAACTGACTAATAGTAAAAAATGGTTAAAAAAATGATTAACGTTTACAAGTTTTCTGTGCGCTTCTTTAAGATTTAAGAATCAACAAGCCGAGCATAAACATGCTAATAATTGTTATCGGAGCCAGAGATATGAAATCTGAATATTTGCAAAACCTTGATTAACAAGAATTGGACAATATAAGTAAACTGAATAAAAGAACAAAACAGAAGAATGTTCCTCTTACAAAATTTATCATGTGGCAACCACCACACGGGAAAAGCAAACTCAGTAATGGCATAACTAAAATAGGGGCAGTTTCCACACTTGGCTAACGCCATAATTCTTTCTGATTGAGCAAATAAATCAAGCTAAACACCAGAATCACTTTCTTCCCCTTCGCCAATCTCTTTCAAAGGGAAGAACAAAGCAAAACAACATTCATGCTACCTGGCACAATTGCAAAAGATAGAAAATCTGCTAATGCTAAATTATAAGAGTCTAAACATGCCCTATGAGTCAGATTACAATAAATACACCAAATTATACGAAAATCAGAAACATGACATCGTACAAGCAGGTGGACAAACGCAGAAATGGGATGGAAAAGGAAAAATAACAAAGCAAGAGGGATTTAAACCCCAAGATCGGATGCAGCACAATCTTGCAAGAAAACTTGCAAGTACCCAAGAAGCAGTGTGCTTACCCAACTGAAGGCGCAAATGCCTGAAGAAAGAGATTGCGTTTTCCACTAAGACTGGAAGCGGGGTTGACGAGGAAGGATGTCCTCTGCCTTGAAAAGCCAAGATCATAATTGGGTTTAGAAGAATTAGAGAAGAGAGAAGGAGCAGAAGTGGTATATCTCAAGAGAGTGGCTTCCATTTGAAAGATAGAGGAGGAAGATGAATGAGTTGCAACAAGAGAATACTTGAGAAGAAGAAGAATCGAATCAATCAAATCAATACGAATGCTTAACCTGAAGGATTTAAAGAGGATGAGGTCGTGGAATTTGGCGCTTCAGTGGGAGGGGTAGGTGGGTGAGGAGAGAGCCATCAGCTGGTTAGGTTAAGTGATCGAAGCGGTTAGCCGGTTTGGTGGGGGGTCCATTGCCGTTGCCCCATTGGTAGAATTTCTTGGGTGCAAAGTTTTAAAAGAGGACTACCCCTTGAATTAGACTAGTCACTAATTTATAATTTATTAATTCAACTGTAGTTAAATTATAGTTGAACTACTTGATATTAATTAATATATTTTTAATTTATATATTATAAATAAATAAAAAATATATGTAAATGTTTATATTTTTCAAAAAAATTAATAAATATTTAATAAAATGATATATTATTGATGAATACATGATTAATATTAATTATTCTTAACTGTTATTTATTTTAATTAATTTTTAAATTAAAATTTTTTAATTTTAAAATAATTTAGATTTATTTTTAAGGAAATTAGTCTGATTTTCAACCAATTTTTTCTGTTTTTGATCAATTTTTTTAATCATTGATTAGTTCTATTGTGACCAATTTTAAAAGGTCAACCAAATAAAATCAAGAGTCGGTGTTCCGTATGATTTTTAAAACACTGTTGGTGTGAACCCAATTAATTATTAATCATATTCCTTTCATTTTAAATTATAAAATAGCGTTGGAAGATTTTTTTTATTTTAAAATATAAAATAATTTTTTAAAAAAATATTTTGTTAATGATATTTTATAATATTATCTTTTAAATAGATAAAAAATTAAAATAATTTTGTAACATAATAATTAAATGTATGGAAATGTTTTTAAAAGCTTATAGTTTTTATTTTGAAAAAGTAAGTTTATATAGTATTATTATTTTGTTTTATTCATGTATATAATCTTATCTTCAATTATTTTATCATTTAAAAGAGAGGAGGTATTATTTTAAATTTTTATTAAAAAATTATAAATTGACCTAAATATGACCATAACTTCTTTTTTTGCGAACATCTAAATTCTACTATAACAAGTGTGAAATTAGTTCAAAGGAATCAACTTGGATAGGAAAATGGTTTGACGTGACAGCCACTTCTCTATTTCATGCCTTTTTTATTTTTTGGGTAAACTTTATCCATTTTGTGATTTCATAAAATAAAAATAAATTAATTAAAATTATTAAATGTTGTATACATGAAAAAGTTAATATATGATTTTTAAAAATGATATAAAATTATAATTTGTAATGAAATGTATATATACAATTTAATTTGGAATATTAAATTAAGTTGGAAAAACTAGTAAATCTTTCTGCTTGCCATAATACTTTCAAGTAGTTTTTCCATTTATGGAATTGGTGATCCATTTTCCATATATTATTTTTTAATGGTGTTCTCTTTTGTTTTTTTGTCAATTTTAATGGTGTTCAATAAATTGGAAAAAACTTGCAATTTTTTCAACTTCCCTCCAAACGAAAGTCTTTGAGTGGTATTCTTACTTTGTTGGCCAAAAAAGTACTGTTTCTCAATTTTGCAATTGGTCTCCAATATTTTTGAATGGCCTGTGATGGAGTGAAGGAACTTGCAAAATTTTCAACATCTTTTGACTTGAGTAAATTTTTATAATTTGGCCAAAAAAGTAAGAAATTTTTTCTAATTTTCAACAGGCTACTGCAAGAAAATCTTCAAATACTCTTCCTATTTTTACAATTACGTTTAAACATATAAATGTATTAATTTAAATTATGCTTGAATTTATTTACAAGGTTAAAATATATTTTTAGTTTTCTGACTTTACATAAAATTTTAATTTAATTCTTTAATTTTATAAAGTAATTTTTTAATCATTTAATCTTATCATTATTAATTTCAAATCATTATTTTTTATATTAATCATTTTTATTTTAAAAAAATTAAACTTAATATGCTAATATTTGAAAATATTTTGTCAATATTTAAAAATTTAATGTAAAAATTTATTGAAATAAAACTAATAATATTAAAGTTAAAAGATTTAAAAGATATTTTATAAAATTAAAAGATAAAAATGAAACGTTGTACAAAATTAAAGAACTAACATAAAAAATTGTGTAAAGTTGTGCAATTAGATTATAATTAACTCCCTCTCTTATGATTCTAATTTTTGTGTTACCTCATAAGAATAATATAGCTTTTTGTTTCTAAATTGTCTCTCAATTATTAACTTATAAATTCTTGACCTTTAACTTAATGTAACTTAATTTTCATAGTTTATTTAATTACAAAATTATAAAGACTGAATTATATTGGATTAAATTGTTCAAATTAAAATTCAAAAATTGAATCCATAATTGAGAAGAAGTCCAAAAACGAAAATTTATATTTTTCCTATATTTTATAACTAAAATTATGAATAATTTAAGAATAAATAGTTAACCCAAAGCTCTATGGTACATATATACATGTCACTGTAAATAATATTTTTGGAAAAAAATAAAATATTGCATTTAAGAGTGTTCAGTTTGTATTCATCCCGATTGGCACCATCTCATCTCGGTCCAAAAGTAATAGGGACAAGACTTTGTGAGAGGAGTTTGGAACGGGATGAGGTATAGGATTACCATCGAGGCATCCCATGCCATCCCGAATATTATATATATATATATATATTATTTTTTTTAAAAAAAATGTATTAAATATATTAATTATATTAATATAATTTATATTTATATTAATTATATCAATTATAATTTCAATATTTGCAATTCTTATTTAAAATTAAAGTTTTTTATATTGATACTTTTAATGACATAGAGTAAATAGGGCGATATCTTTCTTTATAATATATTAATTATATTAATATAATTTATTCTTATATTTATCTATTTAATAACTTTAATATATATCATATTTCTTGCTATGTTTTCGAAAGAGTAATTAACTTAATATATCTCAACTAAAGTAGAAAAATAATAATTTGATATTGTATTTGACTTACTTGTTATGACTACTCTTATAACATAGAAATCAACTATTATAATGTGTAGTTATAATTAATATAATTTAATAATTAACTTTAAATTATTGTGAGTTATGTACTTGTATTGTTTTGACTTTAAACTTAATAAATTATAGGATTTAAAATTTTAATAAATGTTATTATTTAAATCTTTTCTTAATATTATCTGATTTATCGAGATAAATATAAAATAAAAATTCAGTTCCAGTTTTTTTTTTTTTGAAACGAAATACTAGACAAAAATATCTTGATCTTCTCTCACCCCATGATCACCCTAGTTGCATTGATGAATATTTTTACATTCTTTTTACATCATCAGCAAAGAAATTTTTATTTTACGCATTATACATATCTTTTTAGTTAAATATATGCAGATCTCGACGCTTACAGTTCCATTGATTCATCATTCATGACAAGGATGATTCCCCCCCCCCCCCCCCCCCGGGGCGAACTTTGATCGGCAATGAGTCGAAGGAGCACGAGGACGACGTATCTTCAAGAACCCAGACTTACAGGCACCTGGCGATGAACCCTCAAAAATATAGGGCAAGTAGCTAGTAGCTTTCTTGGATCTCTTCTGAATCTCAAAAATTTGCTCATTGCTCTTCAAACAATTCCTTCCAATTACACAAACTGTTCCACCAGATCCTCCACCAGTGATCTTAGCTCCACATAATGTGCCGCCTTCAACTGTAGATGTCGCACTATGCTGCAAGTCTTGAACCAACTTTACAAGCCTATCTGTTCCATCAGATCCCAGTCCGCAAGCACTGTAGCTGTAATGGCACTGATATAACAATTCTCCGAGGGCTTTGAGTTGATCATCGCTCGACGTTGCTGAGTTCAACAGTGCTTTAAATGTCTTCACTCGGAAGTTTTCATAAATGGGGTGTATTGTAGGAGCTCTCACTGCATAAGTACGCTTTTCATCAAAACTGGTGACAGGATCATCATGATCAGCAAATTTCTCCAAAAATGTCCCGCCAACTATGTGCTCTGGAATGTTCTTAGCATAAAGAGCCTCATATCTGTGAGGTGACAAATTGCGTAAGTAATCTAAAGATGCTTCTTTGCTCATGAGTTCTGTATCATCATGGTTCAACCCATTTGGAAGTGTCTCAGCCAATATCTCAGAAGCTCTGGATTTTATCATTTTCCGACCCATGAAGGTACCAATTCTGACTGATCCATAGTCTGCGCCTCCAACACTGTTTTATTCCAGAATCGATTCCCCAAAATCGAGTGTGATTGGGAATTTCTACTAGGCCAACGATTTCTGCAGGCTGGCAATTCATTGCGAGAAGCTTGTTGGCTTCACCACATGCTGAAGCCATTTGATCCATGACACCACATAAGGCTCCCACGATGTGATTTTCCACCTTTTGGCATAGCAGGGCTAGATCTCTTGGGCTAATATTCAATCCATGAGAAACTGCTATAGCATGCATGCTAGCAACCTCCACAGATGCAGAAGATGAAACACCTTTTCCTTCTGGGACAGCAAAGCGTATGCCCATTTCATTCATCGAGACCACAATTGCTCCGGCAATATATGCTGCCCGCTTCTGGGAAGGATCTTGAGCAAAGAATTTCCTTGCTTTTTCGTACGAGATTGGCTTCTCTCCATCAATAAAATCAGACAAATCCATGTCAAAGGTTGGGCCTCGGTTGCTTAATTCTGAGCCAAATGATACAATTTGCAAAACAGCAGTTGGTTTATCCCCCCTGGCATTCTGTCGTGCTTGAGCATGCTTCCACAACCTATGCTTACTTGGATGGAATCTTTGCAGAGCAGCATGGCAGGCTTCTCTTATTGGCATTTGCAAGACAAGGCTTCCGGAGTAGTCAGCAATCCCACCCATTACATCTAACCTTCCCGGAGCCCTCGTCACAAAAATTTCTTCATCCAAGTTGAAGAGGCCAGCAGCGGCCTTCAGCTCACGTGTTGCGTGTTTCTCATTCAGTTCAGATAAGGTCTTTAAGAAAGCCTCAGTATCTGGAAGATCTTGAGCATCTCCATGAAGAATCTCAAAATGCTCATTGTGCAAGCTGGATATGGAGCCTCCATCATCCACTAATGAAGGGGATGG